TCATTTCCACATTGTGTTTCTCCCTCATGATGCCATCTACTGAGTGAAGTACACCTGTCCGGCTGGGAGAAGTACACCCCGCAGCATGATGCTGCCGCCCACCTGCTTCACTGCTAGGGCGACTTTTTCAGGCTTTTCTTCAAATATCCGAAGCTCAAAGAGACCAAAAGGCATTTTTACCTTCATCACACCACATGACCCATCTAATAAAGCAGTTTAACTTTTGACACAAAAGCTAAATACTCTATCAGTTTGACCGTAACTGATTAGATAAAAGAAAATCAGACATATATTTTCATCATTTGATCCTGATTCTTGTTCTCTGGGTTTTCTTAGGAGCAAAGGAATAAAGGATTGGAAAATGGTGAATAATTAATAAATGTAAGCTTAACATCTGTGTGGGGCTGGATCAGCCCGGCTGAAAGCGACCTTTTGAAGCTGCAGTGAAACAGAGCAGCTACTGAGACGCTGTGTCCCTCAGCTGTCAGCTCAGCCCTCTAATGTTTGGCACGGCTGATCTCACTCTGTGACAAAACCTGTTCTCACCTCCAGCTGAGAGGAAAAAACTGAGGATCCCAGCAACTGCGCAAAGAGAAAGGCCATTCGGAGAATTTTGATTTCAGCACGAATATGAGCTACAAAATGTTAAAGGTGTCATTTTTTTTTAAAGTAATGCATTTTGTCTTGAATTGAGGAGGTAAATTAGACATTGTGCGAATGGAAGAAAACAATTTACATTTAAAATAAGAAAACACTTGCATTGTCTTATTTCAAGTGTGGATTATCTAATCATTTTATCTTAAGAGTAAAAAAGACTAATTCCATTGGCAAATTATCTTATTTCTCCACTCAAATTAAGGGTAAATACACTTAAGTTAAGAAATTTTTATGTATTTTTCTATATTGTTTTTGCAGTAAGGATTATAGCTCAGACTATTTTCCATTTTAAAGTGTGTCTCTGAGATGTGGCATGCTCAGCCTTAAACATCCAGAAATTATTATTCCACCCAATTATCAATTCAATTCAGTTTATTTCTTTAGCACCAACTCACAACACATTGGTACAGTTCACCAGATCATACACTAAGATTGGTTTAAAGTTTTCTATCTAAGGAAACCAATTGATTACATCGACTCATTGACTCAAATGCAATCCCTCACACTAAGCATGCTTGTAGCGACAGTGGAGAGGAAAAACTCCCTTTAACCAGGAAGAAACCTCCATCAGAACCAGGCTCAGTGTGAGCGGCCATCTGCTGAGGCCGACTGGGGTTCAAGGAGACAGAAGCAGAGACACAAAAACTGTAAAAGGCGGCCCCGTCCAGGAAACACACAGCCAGGCAGACGAGCTCTGAGCCAGCTCCCATCTCAGAGGATGAAGAGAGCACATCCAGTTAGTCACAGTCAGAGAAACAGGACTACACTGAAAAACAGGCTAGGATCTTGGACATCTATAAACTGATGCAGAATCCACAATATCTGCAATTAATGTGGGTGAGCAGCACTGTTTAATAAATTCACCAGAGGAAGAAAACAGGGCATCATCGTATCGACATTACTGAGATGATCATTGGATCTATAATGAGAACAGACGTTTGTCAGAGCTGAACAGCTCCTCTGTTCTGGCTGCGCTCAGTGAAACGCTTTGATTAAAGCTGATCCTACGACCTGCAGGACCAAATCTGTGCTGTTTGAATGCTCCTTTGACTCGGAAATATTAATTTGTTATTATGTTATTAATATATTATATTAATTAGGAGGGGGGTATTTTTTCTCTGAATTTATCTTATCTATTTCATTATGTATAATTTATGAATTATTTTGTACATGTTGTTCGTCGCTGACAGAGCTCCACCATGTCCAAGTGTTTCTCATGCTGCGTTCCGGCTTGCAAGCAGCAGAAGCAGCTAGTTTACAAGCAGTCAACAGCTGAGGCGCATCAAGGCGCAGCAAACAGTCCTGCAGCGTGTTTTCAGCAGCAAGAGCAACGTCTCATGAGCTCCTCACGCGTGCAACGCTCTCAGAAGCAGCAGCTGCTGGAGTTGGAGAAATTGAACTTTTGCTGCTTGACGTGCCACATTGACCAATCAGAGAACCTGATCTGGGAGCTGGCAGGGAGACAGACACAGCACTGCTGATGATGCAGAGCGCTATGATCAATCCTCTGAAACAGTTTATCAACGCCTAAATTAGCTTAAAATGAAACCTGCCGGCAAAATATGTTGGATTGTAATATTCTGGTGCCTGCAGTTTGGATTACATACGTTAAAAACACCTTTAAGCCGCGAACAGTAGCGGAAAACCACAAAGAGGCGACCGGGCCAGAAGCTGCTGTGGAATGGGATTCCCAGTGACAGAGCACCGCCGGTGTACGTGGGTCTGAGTTACAGAAGCCGAGAGTGGTCGTGTCCCTCAGATACTTTTTACACTCTGGTTTTCTTGAGAAAACGAGTAAATTTTCTCATTATCTTAAGATAACAAAAGCCGTTTTCTCATCATAACGAGATGATTGGTGTATTTAAAACTAATAACATCCTTCAATATCAGCGGGAGAGGATTTATAATTATAACTCATGGCAGCTGTGAGGTAGTTTGGTCGAGGGCCATTAAGGTGAACCAAAAAAAAAAACAGCTTCAGCCACCGGTTCCAGTTTCTCTGTTGTCTTTTATTCCTTTTCTCTCTAACAAAACATTTTCCTGGAGCTTTCAAGAGCTCAGGGCTTATATAATCAAGTGGCAACACACCTGCACTGGAGTGGACCAAGCCTAGATTAAACGGGTAAAAAAACAAAGTCTAAACAAAGAAACAAGAATAAACTTAATCTAATTTACAAACTCATCTACATAAAGAGTCTGCAAAATAAACAGTGTGAAACAAGATAACTCAAAAAGTTACTTTAAAGAAAAACAAACAAAGCATAACTCCAAAGGAAACCCTCTAAATGGTAGAACCCAGCAAAGTAATGGATGACATCATTTAGTCAATTTAGTAGGAAATACTTAAACAATGGTGAGTAAAAAGGAAAACAAAAAAACATGAATATAATTTGAAACAAAATAAACAATGTCATCCAATAATCCTGAAGTAATAGCTTTAACTTAAACATAAGTAGATGGAAACTGCAACATAATGCTAACACAAACAAACCCGGGATAGTAAGTGAAAGTCAAAGTTACAAACTAATGTTTAAATTTAAGCATTACAAAGATTCAGAAGAAAGAATAAGGGACAAGTGGTAAACACAAACTAAACCACTTTGTCACAGCAGCCAATGTGACATTTTTTAAATAATCCTGTGTTTAACTTTTAGGTAACGAGACGACGTTGGTTTGATGATTTGCTTCCTCTTCTGATTCATAAGCAATTAGACCTAACCTCCGGCGCCTTAGCGCCTGGTGTTACGCCTGTAACAGGTATAAGATGCATTAACCCTCAAAATAAGTCCAAATTTAAGTTTTTCATAAAAAAAAAAAAAAAAGGTTTGTTTCTACTGTAATCCACGCAATCCAATTATCCACCACAACCTGACAATCACTGAAAAGAAATAGGAAACTAAAAAAACGTATGATTTGCCTGCAAGCAGTACCCCGATATTATGGTTACCATAGGCATGGATGGACTGGGAATCCAGGGCTGTTGGCCAGCCTCATTCATTACTCATACAGGTTAATCGTCTCGTTATCTCAAGAAATCAATAACTGTTTTCACGTGATAATGAGATAATTATCTTATTATATAGAGAAAATAATTAATGGTTTAACTGTGATAACGAGAAAGTTATGTCATTATCTCGAGAAAAAAAGGTCAAGAATGACCCCTCTGGGCTCGCTGTGTGGGTCAAACAACGAAATAATATTTGGCAGGATGGTAATCTGGATGAACTGACTGCACGGATTAAGTTTTCAGGTGGACTTTGTGACTTAAAAACATATTCAAACTACTTTTAACCCTCTGATCACAGCATATATAGCTGCCATTGTTCCAGGCAAAGAAAGGGTAGGGTAGCTCCGCCCACCGCGCATCAGACCCACTTTTTCCACCTAGAACAGCAAAGATTCTTCAGAAATGCATCAGAACTAAACTTGTACAAGCATCAAAAATAAAAGGACATGTGCGTTTAGCTGCTTCTGCTGCCTCTGCTGCGTGCAGTCTGAGTGTAGCATCAGTGAAATAAGATACAAAGTGTGTGCATTGGAAACTGCTATTAATATTATAACTATCGTTGCGGTGGTTTTTTTTTATTATTTAATAAAAGTATTTTAGGATATCACTAAATAACACTGTTTTTTTCCAATTAAGGTTTTCATCACCAGCCGCCGCTGCCTATGAAGCTAAAACCTTTGCCTCTGGTGGACTTTTTGCTGTTTTAAATGAAATGAACTTCCTTTCTGTTGCTTAATGTTTTGTGCGTTTACATGATGTTTTATTCGTAAATTTATTAACCCTTTAAAGCCCGATCCAAGAATAAAACAAAACAGAAAATTACTTTTTTTTGGTTTGAAGTCCTTATTTGGCCTTTTAACAAAATATGTAAAAAGAAAAAACCGAAATACACTTTTGATATTAATAATATATTACTGTGCGATAAGTCAGGATTATTTTTTTTTGTAGTCTTCTGCCCTCTGTTATCAGGTATATCTGATTGTGTACTATAGGATTTTTAATTGTTATGCATTTTAAATCATGCAAAAGGTGTCAGACGCAAAACATTTAAGAAACCGTATGTATCAAATATGATACATTTGGCATTACAGGGTTAAATATGATAATTAAATTCACAACAAAAACAATTTCTAAAGCTGCAGAATAAAGCTGCAGGGTAGGCAGGAGTATAAACCTGTGTGACCAGTGGAAACAGGCAGCAGGAGATTCTCCAGCTTTAAAATGAACCTAGTCAAAGCCATTATTTTAGAAATGATCTTATTCTAGAGTCATGGTGACTGGAATTATTTCCAGAAATGAACCAACGTGTCTTTTCTGTCTGCTGTGTGTCTTTCAGAAAGCCTACTGTGGCCACTGTGGTGAGCGGATATGGGGGCTGGGCGGGCAGGGCTACAAGTGTATCAGCTGCAAACTGTTGGTCCATAAGCGCTGTCACAGACTCTTTCCTCAGACCTGCCAAAGGCTTATGGTGAGTTCTTCCTCTGCAGACGGGCCCAGCAGGAAGCTCTGCTCGGAGATCAGGTTACATGTGTGAGGATTGCATCCCCTCCATCGTGTCTGAGCATCACAGAGCTCATAGCTGCATGCAGTGATTTAGCCTGAAGGATTCTGAAACTGTTTCTCCAGGACTCACTGAGGAGATCAGGAAGGTTACTAAATTCACATCCATGCCTTTTAGTTTCCTGGACTGACCAATCAGAGCATGTTTTAAACTGAAAGAAAGGCCTTTTTTTTTTTAGAAAGCTAAGCTGATCTCAGGCCCTTTTCTAAAGATAATCCTCCTGTAGAGGTGCTCCATCTTCATAAACATCCTCCACCAGCAACAGGAGAAGGTGTTTCATATCCTAAAAGTATCTTAGCATAAAGCCTGCATGTAAAATTAAACCTTTGACAACAAGTCTCACTAAAAAGCTGATGTCATCTACTCCTCATCTACAGTTTGTGATCCAGGAATCCTTTGGTCGTGTGTTTCCTCTGCTGACACGATTCAATTCAAATTAGTTTATTTCTATAGCACCAATTCAGAACACGTCATCTCAAGGCACTTTACAGGTCACCATCATGCAGTCAGATTGAATCAAAGTTTTCTATCTTAAGCTGAGCGTACACTATGCGATTTTTTTTCAATGGTTGCACGCAGCTGCAGCTCACACTGTAGGAGGAAACCCTGCGGTTTTCTCCTACCGTGTGAGTTCACAGCTCACATATGTATGTGCAGCACGATACTCTGATGTGATCTACCTGCTCACACTGTACGTATAAAAACCACGTTGGACTCAACTCTGCAGTGAGATGGAGCTGCTCTGACTCGTCTGTCTGGAAGAAAAACCAGTAGAAGAGGAATAAGAAGCTCACTATAGTGAAACACGCTGCCTTGGCAGTTTGTGCAATTTTGTACTGAAAGCCCTAAGAAGAAAAGGCAACAACGTATTTGAACAAAGACACGGCTGAGCAAATGTGGCTGCTACGGTCTATTTTACAGACAGAACTGCATTTTACTCATTGCACCCCCTCCATGCTTCTCTCTTTTCTGAGGGGAAGAAGAAGAAGAATCCTTGTTTGCCCCCTGAGTGATTTGCCCAAAATGTTTGATTTTCTCCCGATTCCTGATCAGGAGGTGGTTGTGAGAGGCTGATCTCCCCTCGTTACCCCTCGTACACAACACGACGCACGATCAGGCTGAAAGTCAGGCCCATCGGAAAATTCTCGCACGACTGGAAAGTCACCCCGAAATTGCCAAAAATCACACAGTGTAAGCCCAGCTTAAGGAAAACCAGTTGATTGCATCGACTCATTGACTCCAATGCAATCCCTCACACTAAGCATGCTTGTAGCGACAGTGGAGAGGAAAAACTCCCTTTTAACAGCAGAATGATAAGTTCCCGTATATAATGTTCCAGCTTTCAGCCCTAGGAGGCCCTGATTCTAATGGAGCCGACATGGACCTGATCGAACCGCGCACTGTTAGCCTCATTCTGCTGGGATGTTAGCAAACATGTGGACTGAACCGTCTGCAGCATTTTTATTCCTGTTGAACAATCCAGGCTGTGAGATAATATGAGCTGAATGACTGCAGAGCAGAGAGGATTGTTTTCTCTATCCATCCACCCTGGATGGGAAACAATGGGAGGGAGGAGTACGAGGATCATTTGGTGAAGGAGACCACCGTGTGCTCCTTTGGCTCTGTTTCCATGAATGGATGTACATGTCACCCTGAGCTCCATCCCTATTGGCTCATTGGAACAGGCAGGCTATCTGGAGGCCAAGATAACCGATGGTCTTTGAACCTCTCTGCGTGCGAGGCGGAGCTACGGCTTTGCTTCTGTTTGATAACATGCTTTGAACTGGAGCTACGTAAACAAACTGAATCGGATATAAAAACAATCTTTTCATTGATCCTGTTTGGTCAAAAAAATAAAAAAAAATAACCCAGTTTTACTTTTTTTTTATATCTGAGATGTTTTTCATCTGGACTCGTCTTCATGATGGATTCAAACATATTTATATCTAATAACTTTATGTCTATATGATAAACCCACACAAAGTAGCACAGAATAATGGAAAAAAAAAACTTCTTTTCAGATTAAAATGTTTGTTTTTTAAACTGTCAGATGTTTCCTTTTTTTTTTTGTTTCTGGCCCTGTTTTGTTGTGGGAGCAGAGCTTTAGATGACGGGTGAGGAAACATGGCTGACAGCTCTACATGGGGGCTGGATTCATCAGCTGATGCCTTCAGGAACATGTTTAAAACAAAGAAAAGAGAGAGAAACTAATTTAACTTGAAAACTTGAGCAGTTTAGAGATGCTGCAGAGCAAAGTGGGTCCTCCAGGGCCGCTGTCCTGCAGGTTTTTTTTAGCACAGCTTTAGCACAGCCTGCTGCAGAGATCCATCGTTTCCCACTGAGATTAAAACCAACAAGCAGCCTATTCTGACCTGGTCATGGAGCCCAGCAGGAGGAGCGGATGAAGAGGCCACAGCGAGTAGAGCTGTGAGGACAGAAGCTCTTGTCTGGTTTACTTTTAGAGCGGAGGACAGCCTAATACATTTCCTTCCACTAAGATTTGTTATTTTTCTTTACATAAACAGCTTGGATCCATGAAGGATGTCATAAAAAACAAAACACATAACATAAAGAAGACCTCTGATGTTTAAAAGACATTCCCAGTTCCCACAGTTCCTAAATGCAACAGTTAGGAATGTTTAGTCAGGCCTCTGTTTGCTTCTGTCATCTTAGGCTCCGCCCCCAAACAAAAACGGGGCCAGAAAAATAAAAACAAAACCGGATCTGAAAAACCGCAAACTATTTTCAAACGTTTGATTTATTTATGTTTCATATTTTCTTGCTATAAACTAATAGCGTAACTTTGAGGTTCTTCTTAAACTAATAAATTTTGTATTCAACATCTCAGCATCCAAATCGGTTCAGTTTTTATGGTTTTAAGTGTTTTATGTTCTTTGAGTTTTCATTGAACAGCGGTTCCCACACTGCAAACCTTTTTTTTTTCCTAAGATAAATTTTCCTGAATTGAGGAGGTAAATGAGACAGTTTGTTAATGAGGAAGACAATTTACATGAGTAAAAATACTCATTCCATCGGCAAATCATCTTATTTACCTGCTCTAATTAAGGGTTAATACACTTCATTTAAATTTTTTTTTTTACTTATTTCTAGATAATTTTTCCAGTGCAAACTTTTAGCCGTGCCCCCCCATCCGTGTCCCAGTCAGGCTGACACACACACACACACGTTGGTTCTGTTATATGTAGTGAGGACCATGTGTTGACTTCCATTGATTTTCTGTCATTTTTAAACCTTTCTTTGCCTCTATGCCCTAACCCTAAAACTAACCATCACCAATGCTTACCTCATCCTAACCCTAACCGATTAACACCTTAATCCTAAACCTAACCATTAGCAAAATAGCATGTGGGAACCGGCAAAATGTCCTCACTTTACAACAACTGATCCTCATCGTGATGGCAAGGCAAATTTATTTATATAGCAAAATTCAGTACAAAGACAATGCAAAGTGCTTTACATAATTAAAATATAGGAAAATAAAACAGAATCAGAGCAAGTAGAAGAAAAAATAATAAAGAAATAATAATAAAAAAAAATGCAGAAACAAGAAAGAACATTAAAAGCAATTGGACTAAAGAAAATAAAAAAAAATTGATGGTGAAATTGGAAAAATTGGTCCTCACTCTGAGGGCTAGACAGGCACAGCTTTGTTTGACATAAAGAAAAGCTTATTTTAAAGCTAAAACTAAAGGTGGAGTGTTTATTCATGCTTTAATAACCAGGAAACGCATCCTAACAACAACAACAAGAAGTGAAAAACCGAAGGGAGCGGGGTGCACGGTTCAGAGTCATAGCACCATGTTTGTTTAAATCAGAAGCCACAGATTTTCTGCGTACTACAATAACTTCCTCTGTTATGCATCTTAAAATAAATCGTAGGAAAATACTTCTTCTAATTAATTACATTTCCCTGTCAACAAATTTTTATTTATTTACTAAAGTTTAAGTTGGAATTTCAATTCTTATAAAGGAATTTTTTATTTAAGCCTCTTTTTATTCTGTAATGAAAAAATAATCTGTAATAATCAGACCACTATTATATTTTTCGCCCCACTGATCCCCTAGTGGCAGCTAGAGGCCCACTCTGGGAATCCCTGGTGGGAAGTTAACTATTCAGTCTAAAGGAAATATTTAAGTGCAGCTTTATTCTCAGCAGGGTGAGCTAATGCTAGAGGCTAACGCTGAGCTCCACACCATCCGTCCAGTTGACCAAAGAGCAAAAGATCCAAATCTCAGCTCTCTGAAGACAGAAATGAGGATTGGAAAATCAATGCCATAGATAGCGTGAGCTCTGACAGTCAGCTCAGTGTGTGAACATTGATCAGAGCTTCATCACGTTATCATCAGAGCAGAGGAGAGATTCTGAGGAAACATAAACTTCTCATTTCTTTGGCTGCTTTACCTGAAACCAGTCCTCAAATGCAGTTCTCCTCCTCCGTCCTCGCTGATGTGATTCAGCACACTCTTCACCAAGAGTGTAAAATCATCCGAGGACATGTCGCTGGATATCTGGGCCATCGCGTCGGTGGATATTTAGATGAAGTTCTCAACTTGTTTTTTCAGGATCCAGCCATGCCATCGCAGGAGCCCCCTTCAGACGCCAGGAGTGAGGAGGTGGACCTTCCACCGGACGATGCAGAGGACACGGATGGGAGTAAGACATTTCTTCTTTCCACAGCAGGAAGAGCCTCTGAATGTTTGTTCCTTCATACGTAATCATCTGGTTCATTTTTCAAAGCATTTTCCATTGTGTTGGATTAAGGAAGCTCACATCTGCAACTGCAAGTTTATAAAAAAAAGAAATTAAAAATGTCATCGTAGTTCCAAAAAGCTAAGCTAAACAAAAACACATTTGACACATAAGAAATGTCCCTTAATGAAGAAACTAAAATACTTCAGGTTTATCTTCACATTACTTATGAATTTTAATCAGTTCTTAGTCTTTATGCTTCTGCTTGTTACACGTTCAAAACACGGCGATGAATATATTAAGAGAGAGACTGTAAGTGATCAACAGTTTGAGTTTGAAGAATGTCCTGGTGGGTTTTCTGCAATGGGAGGTGGAGCAAAGGTTTGAAATGAAATCATGAGGAAAGAGATCAGTTTTACTGGTTAGTTGATGGAGATTGGAGTCAGGAAGGAGCAAGCCGAATTACCGAGTGTAGGTCTGTGTTGTCAACTGGGTTCAGATGGATTGGAGCCGAACAGAAAGAGCTTCAGCACACCGGCTACATGAGCAACGCCACAGACAGGGAGCCTCAGCTCTGCTGCTCTAAGGTACTACGGTGCTAAACTCAAACATGCTAAGTTTTAGCTACGAATCAGCATTCAGGGCCTGCGTCTGCCAAACGCCAGATTCATCGACCAATTACGTCATAGCGCGTCGCCGAGGCCTGATGGGGTTGGAAGACTCCTCTTTATGCAGCCAACAAATGACGCCTTCTTTTCGCCCGTTTTGAAGGACGGGTCCGGTGTATCCTCCGTAGCCTTAGGTATCCCATGATCCACTGCGAGTTAAAGCAAGCCGGCTGCTTTTTTTACTGTTGACCTCATGAAAGGTGAAAAAAAAGGAGCTAGGAGCTGCCAGTAAAACAGTTAGATGCCTTTGTTTGCTGCACTTTGTTTAACTCAAGTTAAACTCATGAGCTGTTTTTTTTTTAAATAAAAATATTTGAAATGGAAAAGAAAACTTTTTAATTTCCGATTTTAGTTAGACTGTGTCTACTCCCATGTTTATATTAAGGACGCAATGGTTGATAGTGGTTAGTGGAGGAAAACTACAAGGAAAGTTCAAACTGAAATTAGGTTTAATAAAAGTAAAACATAATTTTGATTTTTGGCTTTATCACGCAGCCCTAACAGAGTTTTCTATGTGATGGTAAAATCTAATTATTGCATAAAAAAAACAATTTTTTTGCCAATTATTAACCCATATCAGAGCCTTTTAGTAACATCAGTAAAAACTCCTTAAAATGTTTTTTAAAATAATAATATTTAATATATAATACACAAAAATATGAAAAGTTTAGGCTAAGTAGTAAATAAAAACACCTCAAATATAATGAAAATTCAATCTGAACAAGTGAGGCTGAAGTAAAGGGAACTCCAGTTTATTGTGTCCATTATTACAGAGAGAAAGACTCTTTATATACTAGATCCTGATCTTCTTTTTTAGCTGAGGGATGATGAAAACCTACATTTTTTTGGCTCTAAAAATAAAATTTAAAAAGCGGAAATATTGGAAACTGTTTTGAATTTTAACAGAATATTATTTTCTGGGGGAGGATTGTCTACAGCTTCACATTTGATCTTCTTTTATATCATTAACTCTTTTATGTAAGCTTTCTTGTCTACTTTTTTGTGCAAAATTATTTTTAGCCACTCTGCTGTTCGTTGATGATCAGGAAATGATCCTCAGTATTATTATTTCCTATGTTTATAATATGAAGACATTCCCCGAGTAATTTTCAGTCAACTTCTCCTTCAGAGAAGCTTTCTTGGATCTGAACCCACAATGCTTAGAATGTTAAACCCATGAAACTGACCTCTGATGTAATCCTCATTCACATATTTCTACCATGTCTGTTAATCCATAAACTGCTCCTCCCATTTCAGCCTCTGTTGGTTGCAAATCGTGTCGCTGCTAGAATGGGTCAGTTCACTATATGTGAGAAAGTGACCATCCTGCTGATAGTCTGTTAAAGGAAAAGTCCGGTCAACGTGGAATAATAAGGAATTATTTAGATCTAAAACTAATACGTTTGCAGTGATTTAATGAATTTAGCATTAATCAGTAATGATATAAAAACAATAATTTTCGTTGTGATCACTGAGTCTGGGAGCGGCCATTTTTGACCAAATATAGTAACCCCTCCCTCCTGCCATCTTCCAGCAGTGACGTCACGGTGCGGTAAGCCTAGCGCCATTCTCCCCGCTTTACAAGCTAAATCAATGGGAACTACTAGACACATCTGCAATCAACAACAATTATTGAAGATTTCCAGAGGACTTCACCATTGAAATTCACCAGAGCTATAGTGAAACTGACAATGCCCACGTGCATGGCAGCTGGATGTTGGAATACATCGGGAAAAAGTGAAAAATAAGAGTTATTCCACCTTTCTGATTCCTGATCCTCCACGGACAGGTTGGTCGTTGGATCGCCAACTTGAAGAGGGAGGATTTGCCATCGAACTTCTGGCCAGAGAAAAAACCCGTAATATGTAGCCAACATTTGGAAGAAGAATGTTTTCAAGATGACTTGGATAATAGCGCGTTGTGACAAACACCAGATACAGCACTGGGACTTGATCAACAGCCGATACCGCACCGTGACGTCATAAACCAGTAGGTGGCAGTAGTGTTCTTTGACAAACATGGATGTCTCCAGTAAAGCACATTCACATGAAAATTACTCTGAATTAAAAACACTGAGCATTTATTGAACAGTATGGAATAATTTTATATTTAAAGAACTTTCAGAAGTTTGAATTTTAAATATGACCGGACTTCTCCTTTAAAAAAACCAATGGTGGAAAATCTATATCTGTATCTGGTCTCCCGGATTGACAGAGACAATCTTAACAACATTAGGTTAAGAACAAAGCGCCAAAAAACTCAGACTTTTTGAGCTGCTGCTGTTTAGAAATATAGAGTTTACCTTAGTTTGGTGATTTCCTTTAAATTGCCTCACTCCATTTATTATTCTCTGTCTCCCTCTGCTGGACTAAAAAGGAAACGCATGTTTATATGTGTTGATTCTCAGTCTCAGGTTTCTTTCTCTAAAAGCAGAAAAGTTCTTTTTTGCTTCTTTTACAGTATCTTTTCTGCCACACAACCGTGCGGTGGATAAACGGGAAGAAACGGATACCGAGGTGAGCGATTGATCAGTTCAGTATTACTGCCACTACATCCAAGCTAGAACTGACATAATGCATCCTTCTACTCACAGGACTCGGACCTGAATCCCCTGCAGGACATCAAGGATGTGGTGGACGGCATTGATGGCATTAAGTTGTCGCAGGGCACCACTCTAGGTCTGAGTGACTTTGAACTGATCCGGGTGATTGGGCGAGGAAGCTACGCCAAGGTCCTACTGGTCCGGCTGAAGAAGAATGAGCAAATTTATGCCATGAAAGTGGTTAAAAAGGAGCTCGTCCACGACGATGAGGTGAGAGGCTGGAATTTGGTGACGCGTATTTATACTTAGCAGCAGTGTATAAGGTTGAACTGAATTAGCCAATCACATGACAGCAGCTCAATGGTTTTTATTGCAAGGGGAAATATACAATGAATTTCATGGATTAAAATAGTTTAAAGGGCAACAAAAGCAGAAGTGAACGCTTGTTAAAGCATGGTGAACCTTAAAGCAAATGTTCTAAAGCAGAGGAAGAGTACAGCAGGGGTCCCTGACCCCCAGATCCTCATCCTCCATCACCTCCCCGCCCCGCTCACGTATGGCATGCGGAGCACTTGTTCATTATCTAACCAGTGAGAACTGGTCCACATCTCCGCTACTCCTCCACACATCGCTGTCCACGTACGTCTCCTCCATCCTTTACCGTCTAAATACGGAGCCCAGCTGTTTTTTGCCCAGTTCCGGTCCAGCCAGGTCAAGATCCGCACCTTCAATCGAACCAAACAGGAAGAGGAATGTCGAGAAGATCCAGTTTGCCAAATGAAAGTATGGTAACAACAGATCGGTAATGACTACAAATTAGAGCATCATTGTTATATCTTCCCAAAAACTAACTATTGTTACTTCAACATACCAGGAAACAGATTTCTCATCTCAATCAAAATTTTTTTTTTTTACTGAGAGGCTTAAAAGTTTAATCTAATCCAGTGGCAACTTCTAAAAGCGCTTCTGACAACTTCGAAAGAAACTTTTTATCGCAGGCATGGATGAAGAGATGCTGAGTTTGGAAGTAGGGAACAAACATAATCATACAAACCAAGTATGATCCTACTTATCGTTGCTGCAAAGAAAAATATGGGCATAAACTGCATATTTGCTGGATGGTGATGGGGGTCTATGGGGGGGGGGGTGTCACAGAGGATGTGGGATTTCGGTTTGAAGCTGCTGTTCATTTACACTCGGCACAATGTAGACAATTTCTGTCTAGAAACAGGTTTCCTTATCTGATGAGTCTGAAGTTTATTTGCATCCTTCATGTTGTCGAATCAGAAGGATAATAATCTGTGTTTTAAAGCCTGCAGGAATCAGATATGAAGCATGTGTTTGCACATGGAACCTTTTAAGCCCAGCTTAGTATGTAGCGTGTCGTACTTCACACTAACTTTAAACCCACCAGGAAAATGTTTGGCAGCAACTTTTTTATTTTTTATTTTTTTTCAATCAAAAAATTCACAAACGAAATCATATTTGATAGAGACAGGGTTATTGATTTCCTAAGGGCAGAAAGGACGGGGTCGATTATTGGGACCCTAAGGATGATTTACTGGAACTCAAACTCCTGCAGAAGTCATGCTGTTTTTGAAGAGCACCAGAGGACAGTGAATCACAATTTAGAGAGATTCTGAAAGAGGAGAGTCTACGCTTTCAAATAATGTCAAACTTTTACAAATGGAAAAAGAATTAAATAAGATATAATCATTTGAATGCTGTGACTCTGCAAAGAACATAAAGGACAAAATGGCTTGCATTGCAACAGAGTCTTCATGTTAACAAACTGTTCTATTTTCTATGTAAAGGTAATTCTATGTAATAGCAGGGCATTATATTTGTGCACTGCAGAGACAAACATCTTTCAGGTGTCCAAATAAAATCTCCAAAACACCAACTTAAATAGCAAGACAACACAAAAACTAAGTGAAAAAAACTAAAAACTTGACTTTTATAAAACTTTTTTTTTTTTTTATCTCTGCTTGTTTTCTTATGACTGCAACTTGATCTGAAACTAAGATCTTTGGTAAATGGTAAATGGCCTGTAGTTATATAGCGCTTTTTCAAGTCAGGAGGATTGACCAAAGCGCTTTAATCTACATTCAGTCACACACTGATGGTGGTAAGCTGCATTGTAGCCACAGCTGCCCTGGGGCTCACTGACAGAAGCGAGGCTGCCATACACTGGCGCCACTGGGCCCTCTGACCACCATCTGGTCTTTTTGACTGAAGACTGATAAGAAATAATTTTTCCCTTTAATACCACTTTAAATGACTCCCACAAAACTGAGTCAGATACTTCTCCGTTGGCATTAAATTTGAGATTTTGGCAGAAACATAATCCTGAAATTGATAGGGGGATAAATTTCCAATTAAACGACGGAACATAGAGATGGAAGTTAATCTGTAATAAGAGAGGGGCGTGATCTGAAATTAAGATGCTGTGATACGTTGAGCTGACTGTATGTGAAATTAACTTAGAATCAATTAAAAAAATAGTCAATTCTGGGAAAACTACCATGGGAGGGAGAAAAAAAAAGAGTATTTACGATCAGAAGGATGCTGATGCTGAAGATATCAACTAAATTTAACGACTTGATGAGATTATTTAGAACAGACTGATTTCAAAGAAGAGGCAGCTTTATTGGAGGACATATCCAGCAGCAGATCGAGATAACAATTAAAGTCACCTCCTATTATTATGTCCCTATTATTACATTGTGCAACAGTGTCAAATATCTTGCAGAAAAAATCGGGACAGTCTTAATTCCCGGCATAACTTTACTTTAAAGCTACAGTGTGTAATAATTACAGGGATATACAGTCAGAAATGTAATATATTATACATAACTATGTTATTTATCATCATCTACGAGCTCAGCCTCTTAACCTTAATATTTGCGTTGCCTTAGAATTCGTTATTTATAATTACATAGGAGCGGGTCTTGCAGCCATGGAGGCAGACATCTTTGCGCTACGGCAGCGCAGAGCCAACAAACTAGTGATGGCGAGATCGCCAAAACGTCACAACGATGTAGAAAAAATAACGGGTATATTTATTATCCTAAGTCTACATGAAATCTATACCCTACACAGACTAATGAAATACTATCTGTAAAATTATCTATGTAAACAAACCTCATCACTTGAGAAGGTAGGTGATGCGGACGTCGTGGAAGACATTTTGTCCCGTAACGCTCGCCGTACTGTTGGTGGGGAGAAGCGGTGGGGGGGAGATGTTCATGTTGCTGCAGTCTGCAGTCTGACCGCTAGATGTCGCTAAAAGTTACACACTGTAGCTTTAATTTAATAAAGCAACAGGGATGGAATTGATGTCGCCAGTGAGAAGCACATATCGTCCCCCTGAATCTGCACACATGAATTAGAGATAAATGGAAAGGATTTGCGAATAAGGATTGCGACCCCTTTAGCCTTGGAAGAAAAATTTGACTGGTAAATTTGTGACACCCATGAAGATCTCAACTGTCTCTGCTCATTTGGTTGAATATGAGTCTCCTGAAGAAAGACAATATCGGATGAAAGTGATTTTAAATGCGAAAACACCTTTTTTAAGCGCTTTACTAAGCCCTCTGAAGATCCAGGAGACAAAATTAATGGGACTTATGCCCTGCTTAGAAGTATTATTATCCTGCATTTATCATAGCGTAAAAGCAGCAGCTGTATGGCAAGCCATTTTAACATAAATTCGGTTATAACACCTTTACATTTACGATATCTCAAATTGTTTTATGACTAGACATTTTAGCCATTTAAGATATCTTAAATTATATTTTAACTAGTCAAGATACCTATTAGAGATTTCTCTAATTACATTCTGACTATTTGAAATGACGTCAGATTTACCATCAACTTGTATGGAGACGACAATTTAAGATATCTAGAATTAATTACTGACTATCTGAAATACACATTTCAGATATCTACGATTAAATTACGACTAGTCATAAAGTAATTTCAAGATATCTCGATTTTAGTTTTGATTAGTCATAATTCTAATTAAAGATATCTCAAATGCCACCATAATTCATGATATCTTAAATGTATTTTAGGATAGGAGATATGCAGCTTTGACTAGTGAAAACTAAATTATAGGCTAAACAAATTTAAAGATATCTTGAATTGTAATTTCGACTATTCAAAATTCCTTTTAAGATATCTCCAAATGAATTAAAGATATCTTGGAATTATTCAGCTTTTCCATTAAAAATATCTTAAATTGACATTCTGACTGACAAAATATGTCATGATCTTTTTAATGGGTTTCAAGGAGGATCATTCCTAAAAAAAAATCCTTACTGTGAGTTTAATCCACAGGAGGAAAAGTTAAATCAGTGTGTAACGCTTTAAATGACAAATCTGGGGTCGTAATATGAGATATCTTTAAAGGAATTTTGACTGGGCAAAATGTAATTTAAGATGTCTTGAATTATTATTCTTCCTAATCAGAATGTAAATACAGATAATGTCTGTAATACAGTCAAAATGTGGTTTTGTCCAGTCAAAATGTATTTTAAGATATCTGGAACGTAATTGTGGATGGTCAGACTAAACCAAATTTCTGGTCAAAAGGCTTGCCATAGAGGCTGACAAGATGAACACAACACAACACAGGAGGTTGAACAAAAACCGAACGAACACAGAATCCCCAAAATTCACCCCAGCCGCAACAGGAACTAAATGGCATATCCCTCAATCTAAAGTGGAGGCTGCTGGATAACAGAGAGAGTAAATAACCTAAACCCAACAAGCCGTGTTTACCTCCACAGGAACTATAGAAATGTTAATGTGCACCATTAATGTGAACCTTTGTGTAGAATGTTTAATAAAGTCAGTCGATGTGAGACTATGAGTTGACGAATCGCTCTGCATCAGCCGGTGAAGTGAAAGTTTTCACAGTGTCATTTAAAGACACTTACATATTTGCAGGAAATACAGGGAACATTTGGCACCAGCTTCCACCAACCTGTTCCTCACGGTGTTGAATGCCTAACGCTGTGCTGAAACCTCCGCCATTTAGTCTGGGAATACGAAGACTTTCTGACTGTGGTACAGCGGCGGGGTTTGTTGTCCATTCAGCCGCAGCCGCAGAATATTCATCACGTCGCGGCCGTTGTGCACTCTGGCTGTGACGATCCCGCCATGATCTTACCTTATATCATTTATGTCCTCCATTTTTACTTACTCAACAAGAACATTTATGTCCAAGCACCTGTTTTGCTTTGATGGATTTTGTTTTTTTAAAT